GAAAATCTTTTGTTGATATTCTGCTTCAACCCTTTTCGAGCGGTTTTTTCGTGCATTCGAAAGATCTTGCTTCTGACTATAACGTAAACAACGTCTCAAAGCTTACTCCTTTGATAATGGTGAATTTTTTCGTATAATCGTAAAAAGTGCGTTTTTTTACCGTGTTCTCTTTCAGTGTTCTTAGCGATTTTTTTCCATCTGGGTAACTATTGCTCGAATAATGAGCGCAACAAACTAGACAACGTCCCAGGATATAGGAACGTCAATACGGGGGTAAGTAATTAAAGGACATCAAAACTAGATTGGCTTAAATGTGCACGTCAATTAGATAAAGTAGGTTTTGCGTTTTCATAACTGATGCTTTTTTATCTTCTACTCGACAATCATTATTTCTAAATAATTGTTATTTTTGCAAAGATCATAAAAAAGAAATCAGCTTTTCCTTGTTTTCCCCGTGCTGTGATTGCCTGGTCCTGGAGCGAAATCCTGCACTTTGAAACATCGCCAAATGAATCAAACCTCATGTTCAACCGTTTCCTTTGCTTTTGCTTAATGTTTTGCATTTTTTTCATCGCTGGTTTTGCACACAACCTTCGCTCTTCTTGGAAGGGAGGGTGCTTGTTATCGTATAAATGACCAATCTAAAAGGTCACTATGACCTTCTACGGGGCCATAAAAGCATGGTCCCGTGTTTGTTGAACCGCCAGATGCGGTATAAAAGACGGTGGGCTTCTTGACCAGAGCTTCATCGACTTCTGTTTCCTTACATCTGTCCCCAAAGGCGGCATAAAAGCCAGTGAGCTTCGTGATATAGGCTTCTCTTCGCTTCTCCCGACCACTCATTTTGATGCCATTTTACTCTGTCATTTCATTTGTTAATAAACTATCCACTGAACCACCTGTTCATCATAGGGCTGATATTGAAACAAGCTCACTTGCACTGTCTCTGATCGAAGGTTTGCGATCAGTCAACAAGATGATACCTCCTTTGATACACATTTCACATTCTTTACCAAAGCGCCACGGCGACTTGGGAATCTTTCCTAGTAAGATGAGCCAGTTTTGCTCAGACCTGTCTCTAAGATCATAGGGTCGCGCAACAACTCTGCATCTGTTAGCGGGGACTGACGCACGTCCCTATTTAACTCAGATTCTCGCCGGGATTTACGATGGATATTCGAATTCAGGTAGCGGAAATATCAGGTAAGCGTTGAATCTAGAAATTGGATTTTTGCTCGGACACTGCCTTTGATGTGCCTAGCATCTTTGAAGTTCACGTCGTAACAGTAATGCAGAGCAGCTTTTACAAACCATTTTAGTGCAGTATAACTCAAGCTGCTCTTACAAATTTGTGCATCAAAACTCATCAAGCTCTTTTCCACAAAATGCATGCGCATCATTTTATAAGACATATAAACAAGTACCTAGTAAAAAAAATGAAATGTGTTGCAAGATTTTTACTCAGCAGGCATCTTTGGTCGACGTCGACAGAGGCCAATTTTTGGCGTCTTTCTTCAATAAGGACTTCTTAACAAAAAATGTTCTTCTGAAAATACAAGGCACACCCCAACACTTCCGATCCCTTTTGCATACTTCGCGAAAAACTGTGCTGACGTAGGATGAACCAGCATGCGCTCTGTCAAACCAAGGCATGCTTTAACGCAGCATGTTAAATGCTCGGGATGCCGAGCACGGTACGAGCATAAGGGTAACTTTGGATGAAGCCTGCGAGAGATTTCAATTTGGAAATAGTATGCTCTTGGGTAAAGGTGCAGTTGGTGTTTTGGTGTTTTTCAGACATCTTTACCTTCACAACCTAATAGCAGGCAAACTAGTACCAGGACATCCTAAGTAGATATATGCAAACAAATTAGCGTCTTTATGCACAGCAGGATTTGAGCATTCCTCGGCTATAAATGAATTATAAAAGCTCTTGATTGGGCGTTGGCTTAGTTAGAGTCTCTCAGTTGGATCACATAGGACGGATACCTGCCCTCGAGAACGAGAAGGGAGAGACCTTTTTCATTCGTAAAGACCATAACATAATAAAATTATAAAACCCCGTGCTCACCGATGCGGCCACTCCAGCTACAAATCTGAAAACCAGAAAAATCGTGTAAGTTGGAGCGATGGCACAGATTATATTAGCTACCACGGCTACATAGAGCGGAATAAGAAATGTCATGCGTCGACCATATACATCCGACAACTGTGTGATAATGGGAGCAACAATCGTACCACCTCAAATGTGCCTTTGGAATTTTGTGATATAAGAAATGTGCTAGTTACCCAGCATAAACACGGAAGCGCCATGTTCAACAGACTCATAGTTGTCACAAACCAGATTGAATTCGCTAGCCAAGGATTCGTGATTGACATCGGAATAATTGTATCTAAAACTTCTTGCAAATTGCAATCTCTTTTTTACAAAGATTATTCTACTTGGCGCCAGGTATCTTATCGCATGTAAATGTCCAATTGTTTCCATCTTTCACATGACACTTATCCACTACAGTGTACTCCTGAAAACAGAAATCCTTTTAGGACTACTTTCGCTACAAACAGCAATTAGTACCCATTGCACTCCTTCAGGAGGTGTAATTTCGCATTCGAACTTCGGATCCTCCGTTATGAACGGCATTATCATCATGTTGGTAGCATATAGGATGTGAACACTGTTCAGGATTAGGTGTATAACCATCTAGTAAAGTCTTTGATAAGTTCTTTTATCGCAGACGAAAATACTTACCTGATATCGCCCGAATTTGCCATATGCTGACAAAATTTTGTCAGCATCTAGTTGTAGGTAGTCTACCGTGTTAGAAGATGAGCGTGATCCATGATTGCGAGTACTCAATGGTGCCATTGACTGAAAGGTTTTAGGGGTAAAGCCCAAGTTGTCCATTTCTCGGAGTCTTATAACTTGAAAATAATTCTTTTGCCAGCTTTCGCTTTTACATTTACCAAGAAACAGTATACAACTTATACAAATTTACTCAGCGCTTAGCTCCAAATCAGTTGATTTTGTACAAGGGATTCCAATCTGAGTGTCACGTTCGGCGCGGATCGATTTCTTGCGAGTCGCCTCGTTTGGGTCTCTCGCCGCATTCGCCCTCAGATACGGTATACTTCCGCGCGTGAACTGGAAAATACCGTATCTCAAACCATCACTGACAAGCTTTGGAAATTGCCCCGAGAGCGGTCGCGAACGCGTCAAATGGCTCAACCGAGGCGGCTTTCCGACCTGAGACGTAAAGCGCGAGCACTCTGTGGCGTCAATGGATGTGCGTCTGCAGTTCTTTTACATGAATGAGTGATGTCGAAATCACTGAAGTGAACTTGCACCTAACGCATTGGTATTCCTTGAGACGACGCACAAAGTTTATCTTAATGCGTAAATGATTTGTTCATACTTACTTAGATACTTACAAGGAAAGGATTAAAACTCGCTCAACCAATCTCATGTGACACCCTAATGCGCTTGAAACGCTGACTTCAAATCTCTATTTTGTTGCTGCGGAACGACTCTCCAAAGAGTTATGAGGGGTGTTTACCTCCGGGGTTGAGGCGCCTTTTAAATGTGGGTTCATGTCTACGAGCAATAGATTATAGAAGCACAAAATAGTGTTGACTGGCATAGTGGCAAGTGACTTGAATGATGATTATATAGATTGTAATATTTACTGTTATTTTGGTTTTTCAAAACTTATAGTATCGATTCAGTACCATCAAAAATTTTAGGCTTCAGGGTTCCAATGCCATTTAGAAGCTGAATCATGCAAAAATTGCAGTAAAGTTGCATGCGAAGGAATTGAAATGTGAGACACTCCACATATTCAGCAAATCACCAGTATACCAGAAGAC